GGGGGGGGCGTTTTCTCCTTCTGGTAGCGACAGTCTTAAAGGGACTGTCTAAAAAAATTGTCAGGTTGGGGGGAGAGGGGCGTGAGCATTTACGACGCCTAGTGAACTTATTTATACAGTCGGTTCTGATAAAGCTGCCAGTGGCCGTGTCGGTTGTAGCTACAACTGTGTCACCACAAACAAGGACGTGGCCCCCGACCCGTGGCTGAGGTCGCCTGGAGGGTAGGCAATCGGGACACAAACTATCCCTTTGGTTGTGGAGGGGGGGGGGGGCGCATTGTGTTAGTTTAGATGCGTCCATCCCCTTTCGGCTTGTCAGGGATTCTGTGCAGAACATGTCCTTGCCTTCTGCTTACACCCTGAAGGTGTCGGATTTTCTACTACCCGAAAAAGAATGTTCTATAGTCGGGTCGGATTAAGCTGACTCTGGCCGCCGGCATTGTGGCCACATTTTTTAGGCCACAAGTAGGGACGTACACGATTGTAGCAACGATTGTACCGACAGAGCCCGAGTCAGTTAAACGGAACCGTCTATAGACGAATTCATTTCTTTCACCAATGCTAGAATATCAACCAGAAGAAAACATCCGATAAACATCGCTAATAAATAAAGCGAAAACGAAAGGTATGCCTCACCTAAGCTTTTGCCTTGTCCAAGCGCTCGGAGGGACAGGCGGCCGCGGGGGCCCGATTCACGAGCATTGCCTACCCTCCAGGCTTTTCCAGCGAGAACTATCGACCCACGCCTAAATTGACACAGAATCACTTTTTAGCTTTATAAAGGATTTATGAGCCTGGGGTTGAAAGGAGCCTAAACCCAAACAAAGTCCTGCCACACGCCACCTTTTGTAGCTAAACAGTTGTAGCTACAATCATGACCGCATGCAGCTTCATCCGAACCAAAACTGTCGGCCTAAGATCAACTCCCGGGCGGGGCAACTTTTTACTTTGTCGCTTCTTGTCTCCCGTTAGCCAGCACCGAGCTCAGACCTCAATACCGGAGTGGCAAGCTGGTAACCGAGCGTGTTAAAGCGTGATCGGTGGTAGAACGTGGAGATGGTCGATAGTTCGAATCCCGTCGGCGGTTATTTTTCTTGCTCTGCTGGCCATGTGTTTTCGAGTGTCAGCCACAGCGGAGATCGGCATGTTGCTGGGAGCCACGCTTTGCCGGGCACCCCTCGTGCGCCCCATAGTATTTGCGACCGGTGCTTGTCAGGGATTATCCGCTGAGCAGGGACTTGGCACTTGGCTTCTTCTTACACCCTGAAGGCTTCGGATTTCATGTTACCCGAAAAAGAATGTTCTATTGTCGTGTCTAACTAAGCTGACTCTGGCCGCCGGCATTGTGGCCACAACACAAATAGGGACGTGAGGTAGCTGACGGAAGCTAAGCGCCTGCGAAACTCGGGCTAGGCCGACCCGCAGTACACGCATGCGCCATACGCAGTTCGTTGCCTCCCTACCAGGCGCTCGAGCTTGCATCGGCTGCTGAGGTGTGGCTTTGTCTCAACAGCGAATGGCAATGACGGACGTGCTTTATAACGGCTGAGCTCTGATACACATAGACACACCGGGAGCATGATTATTTCCCTCATTCCCTTGCCGCCTAAGCGAGGTGCGCCGAGAGAGAGAGAGAGAGAGAGAGAGAGAGAGAGAGAGAGAGAGAGAGAGAG